ACCCAGTAAAACCAATTTGTAAATGCATGATGCATTAAAAATATAAAAACATCTCAACAGACAACGGTTTGTCATGTGAGGCTGCGTTTAAATAGGACCTTGTCACTGCATAGGGAACAAATGACTTTTTGTACCCATTTTCCTTTACCAGAGGAACCACCAGTCTTCTGCCAGATGGTACCAACTTGAATAATGATTGCAGTGGATGAGCTGGGTCATTGTAAAGCTGTATTGTCTTTTTTTTTCCAGAACTTGACTGTACAGGTCTGTAGGTTGCATATGTTGATGACCAATGATTTTACTACCTACCGGTAACCCGGGACAACTTGTTCCTGTCTCTGTCTAGAAGGTTCCCATACCATGAGACAATATTAAAGGAAACAACACTTTCAACCAGCAACCTGTACACCAATTGCAAGGTATTTTTTGCTAACATTAAAGCTCCTTAGCTTATAAAGAAGGTGGAGACGCTGTCTGGCTTTTTTTAATATAGTCAGTGTTGAGCTGAAAGGTCAACTTGTTGTCAATTATTGTTCCAAGGTATTTAAATTCAGTCACCTGCTCTACTTCCTGCCCTTTTATAATAGACGGTCTGAATACAGGTCTGGTGCTGGCTGCTCCCCATCTACCTCCCAGACAAATCTCCTTGGTTTTACTGACATTATGGTCCAGAAAACTGTCATCACACCTGGCAGAGAGCTGATGTATGAGCTGGGAGTATGAGGGGCTGTTGGTGTCTTTCAGACCAGCAACTACTGTAGGGTCATATCATCAGCATAATTAATTACCATACCATTTTATTTATAGAGCACTTAAAACAGCGACAAGGCCAACCAAAGTGCTGTACAGACAGAAAAACAAGCAACACACAAAGCAATATACAAAATGAGGTAAATCAGAATATAGACATAAAAACGATGCAGATAATAAATATGATGACTAACCAGTGTGGAGCGTACAGGTTCAAAACACAGATCCTCTGGTGTTGAAAGCTACTGAATAGTAGTGGGTTTTTAAACGGGACTTGAAAACCAAGAGGGAGGGGGCCTGTCTGACAAGCAGAGGCAACTCGTTCCAAAGTCTTGGTCCTGCTACAGAGAAGGCCCTGTCACCTCTGCGCTTAAGACGAGTTCCTGGAACTGTGAGGAGCAATTGGTCCAACTGGTAATTAATGTAAAGTCTTTGTTGTTATGCCGCAACTCATTTATGTATAATGAGAATAAAAGTGGCGATAGTACACATCCCTGTGGAACACCAGTGTTCAAAACCCTGCAGTCAGATGGTGTTATCAACACAAACTCGTTAGTATAGTATTAACTAGTGATGGGTCCAACAACACCGATGCGTTGGCGCATGCTCCGTGCTCATAGAGCAAACCCTGTGTTGGTGCACATATCGCTATTAGAAAGTCACGTGGCCGATACAGGAGCTGTTTCGCACCGACACTGACACGTCAAACTGTGTTTATAAGCATATCTGTCAACGGGATGCATCTGCCAAAATAATCTTTGAACTTTTGCTGGTCATCTTTAAATTCATCGAGAATTATGAAGAAGCCTCAAACCAAAAGAAAGATTTCTGTCGTGTGGGACCATTTTGATCTCATATCGGAAAATAAGCTATTTGTTTCAATTTACTTGCTTTTCTTAGAGATTCCACTTGATCTATCTGAATTCAAATTCATTTCAAAGTAAATCTTAGTTTACCATTCATATTATTTTTGCAGGTTAAATGTCGCATTTGTTCGACAGAGCTTTCATATTAAATAAATCTACCTCCTCAATGCTGAGGCATGATACTCTTGCGCGGCTCCCCGAGCCACATGCAGCTCGCCATGTTTTATTGGTGGCTCTCGTGACAGGTTACAACAATACACCAGCACAGCCAGTACATTTTTAAAACATGCTGGCTCATTACGCAATAATTGTGCATGTCGGCTCGGGCTTCTATGATGCAGTTTCACGAATCATACAACGCAAAGACAAAATGAGAACACACAATATGATATTGTGTTAATCTACTTGTTGAGGAGGAGGCAGGTTCGACCGGCCAGTAGAGGTAAAAAAAAAAAAAAATCCTATCAATCTCAGATGGATCAGCTGATCATAACCGTCCGCGTGCGTCTCTGCACCTTCTGTCATCTGTATTGAAGGAAGTAGCAGAATTACAGGGCCGGTTCTAGGCATGGTTACATGAGGGGGCAGGCAGAAATATGAAGGGGGCATCTTCATCCGTTTACATATTACAGTATATTCTTTGTTGAACATGGACTTTGGTATTCATTGTTATTGTTGACTTGTGTTTTCTTCATGGGATTGGGGTAATAGCTAAAAGATGAATTTTTACACCTGTGAGTCAACATTTTCAACCACGAACACTGTCAAATGAAAACAGAGAAACCAACTGACCCATGCCTGTCTTGAATGTCTCACTGTGGCTGCAACTACAGGTCCTTCTCAAAAAATTAGCATATTGTGATAAAGGTCATTATTTTCTATAATGTAATGATAAAAATGAAACTTTCATATATTTCAGATTCATTGCACACCAACTGAAATATTTCAGGTCTTTAATTGTTTTAATACTGATGATTATGGCATACAGCTCATGAAAACCCAAAATGCCTGTCCCAAAAAATTAGCATATCATGAAAAGGTTCTCTAAACAAGCTATTAACCTAACCATCTGAATCAACGACGTAACTCTAAACACCTGCAAAAGATTCCTGAGGCTTTTAAAAACTCCCAGCCTTGTTCATTACTCAAAACCACAATCATGGGTAAGACTGCCGACCTGACTGCTGTCCAGAAGGCCATCATCGACACCCTCAAGCAAGAGGGTAAGACACAGAAAGAAATTGCTGAACGAATAGGCTGTTCCCAGAGTGCTGTATCAAGGCACCTCAGTGGGAAGTCTGTGGGAAGGGAAAAGTGTGGCAGAAAACGCTGCACAACGAGAAGAGGTGACCGGACCCTGAGGAGGATTGTGGAGAAGGGCCGATTCCAGACCTTGGGGGACCTGCGGAAGCAGTGGATTGAGTCTGGAGTAGAAACATCCAGAGCCACCGTGCACAGGCGTGTGCAGGAAATGGGCTACAGGTGCCGCATTCCCCAGGTCAAGCCACTTTTGAACCAGAAACGGCGTCAAAAGCATCTCGCCTGGGACTGCTGCTGAGTGGTCCAAAGTTATGTTCTCTGATTACAGTAAATTTTGCATTTGCTTTGGAAATCAAGGTCCCAGAGTCTGGAGGAAGAGAGGAGACACAGAATTCACATTGCTTGAGGTCCAGTGTCAAGTTTCCACAGTCACTGGGGTGTCATGTCATCTGCTGGTGTTGGTCCACTGTGTTTTATCAAGGGCAGGGTCAATGCAGCTAGCTATCAGGAGATTTTGGAGCACTTCATGCTTCCATCTGCTGAAAAGCTTTATGGAGATGAAGATTTCATTTTTCAGCACGACCTGGCACCTGCTCACAGTGCCAAAACCACTGGTAAATGGTTTACTGACCATGGTATTACTGTGCTCAATTGGCCTGCCAACTCTCCTGACCTGAACCCCATAGAGAACCTGTGGGATATTGTGAAGAGAAAGTTGAGAGACGCAAGACCCAACACTCTGGATGAGCTTAAGGCCGCTATCGAAGCATCCTGGGCCTCCATAACACCTCAGCAGTGCCACAGGCTGATTGCCTCCATGCCACGCCACATTGAAGCAGTCATTCATGCAAAAGGATTCCCGACCAAGTATTGAGTGCATAACTGAACATGATTATTTGAAGGTTGGTGTTTTTTGTATTAAAAACACTCGTCTTTCATTGGTGGGATGAAATATTCTAAGTTTTTGGGACAGGCATTTTGGGTTTTCATGAGCTGTATGCCATAATCATCAGTATTAAAACAATTAAAGACCTGAAATATTTCAGTTGGTGTGCAATGAATCTGAAATATATGAAAGTTTCATTTTTATCATTACATTATGGAAAATAATGACCTTTATCACAATATGCTAATTTTTTGAGAAGGACCTGTACAAATTACAAATACAATGAAGAAAGTCAAAGACATGCACCACAGCTTGTCATCTCAGTACTAAAGTATGTTTTGTTTAAGCAGATAAAGTGCTGGCTGTGTTTCATTTTTTGTTCATAGGTGGGTTGTTCAATTTTTTTTCTTTGAGTGACTCGGGGTGATATCGCAACTTTCCCCTTGACTTTGATCTGTCAAGATGGCTTTTTTGAAAAAATAAATAAATAAAATTAAAACAGTAGATCACTGCATTATAGGGCCAGGCATGAGAATGAAGTCCCAGATACATCCAGGGTAAACTCAGGTATACAACCATTCTAAAACTTACTCACAGTTGCTTTATTGATAATTAATTCTTATTAATTTATTCTTATCTAATTTCCAACCATCAAGCTTCCAGGAAGCAAATGTTGGATGAGGCTCTGCTGAATTTCATCCTGAAGGACTGCCAACCCCTCAAGCTTATTTATAACTTGTTTTTTTAATTAAAAATTGTTTAAAAAAAAAAACAAAAAAAAACTGTCCCAGTCCACAAGCATCCTCATTCACAACATGTTCACTTATATTTTCACATTATGATACATGTTCACATTATTTATTGACTGTATCTAAAAATAAATATATTTTAAATTTAAATGAAAATATGAATAATATAATATAATATAATACAATATAAAATACAATGACTTAAATTATATTATTGTATATAGTAGGTCATAAAATCAGTGTCAGCTGAGTCTGTCAAATAAGTTGCCTGTAGGGATCTTTAAGTTCCAGCAGGTGTCAGTATGCAGTGACACAGTATCAATACAGTTTGGCATTGTGTTGAAGCGCTTCATGACGCCTCATCGACCCATCACTAGTATTAATAGACTTTGAAAAGGGAACATTTTCAGTTTACATATAACCATTTCTTGAAATTACACATGTCAATATGAAGCATCACTTGATTGATAAGTCACAAACTCCCTGCAGGATGCAAGCTGCTGTTCCAAGACTGCCGCGATGTGAGGCAGATCAAAATGAAGATGGTCCATGGAGTAAAGCACGATGATTTGTCCTACAGAGAGATGGAAAAACTCAGAGAGGTGAGTTTTTTAAACGCACCCTCACCCCTCACCACTGTGACTGACTCATACTATTTAAATGAGAAGGAGTTTTTCTAAGGTCAGATTAACATGAAACATTAAATACAGGTTGGATTTTTGTAAAAAACAATTTATTTATGATTATTTCTACCTATATAAAAGGTATGATTTTTAACTTAAAATAGAAAAATAAATACAGTTTTATCTGTTTCACTGCTGGAACAAAATGAGAAAATGAGGAAAATTATAAAATAATCACATAATTTTGGTAAATGATTATTCAAATTATAAAAAAAATATAATAATAAATATGTAATTTTTTTTATTTTTTCTGCTTTAAGAGCCTTTAGGTTATAACTTTAAAATAAAACTACATGTATAAATGCACATATTTTCTTTCAAATTCATATTTGTGTTACATCTTTGTCTTGTCGGCACACTGGATCAATCTGTAGAGCTGTTGTCTCTCATCGAGAAGGTTGCTGGTTCAAACCCCAGCCAGGGACCCTTCTGAGTGGAGTTACCATCTTCTCTCTGTACATGCATGGGTTTTCTCGGGGTACTCCGGTTTCCTCCCACAGACCAAAAATATGCCATCCATCCATCCATCCATCCATCCATCCATCCATCCACGGGGCCGGGTCACGGGGGTAGTAGCCTAAGTAGGGAGGCCCAGACTTCCCTCTCCCCAGCCACTGGAGCCAGCTCCTCCGGGGGAATCCTGAGGCATTCCCAGACCTGTCAAAAAACATAATTCCTCCAGCGTGTCTTGGGTCTTCCTCTGAGTCTCCTCCCAGTGGGACGTGTCTGGAACACCTCACCAGGGAGGCGTCCAGGAGGTATCCTAACCAAAGGCCAGAGACACCTCAACTGGCTCCTCTCAGTGTGGAGAAGCAGCAGCTCTACTCTGAATCCCTCCTGGATGACTGAGCTTCTCACCCTTTCTCTAAGGGTGTGCCCAGACACCCTTTGAAGAAAACTAATTTTGTCCGCCTGTATTTGTGATCTCATTCTTTCGGTCACAACCCAAAGCTCATGACCATAGATGAGGGTAGGAACGTAGATCGACCAGTAAATTGAGAGCTTCGCCTTTTGACTCAGCTCTCTCTTCACAACGACAGACCGGTACAGTGCCTGCTTCACTGCAGACACTGCACCTATCCGCCTATCAATCTCTCGCTCCATTTTTCCCTCATTTGTGAACAAGACCCCGATATACTTAAACGCCTCCACTTGGGGCAGGACCTCCTCCTCGACCAAAAGAGGGCACTCTACCCTTTTCCGGCTCAAGATCATGACCTCGGATTTGGAGGAACTGATTCTCATCCCGGTCGCTTCACACTCAGCTATGAACCACTCCAGCGAAAACTGTAGATCACGACCTGATGAAGCCAATAGGACCACATCATCTGCAAAAAGCAGAGACATGATCCTAAGGCCACCGAAACAGATCCCCTCAACACCTTGGCTGTGCCTAGAAATTCTGTCCATAAAAGTTATGAACAGAATCGGTGACAAAGGGCAACCTTGGCGGAGTCCAACTTTCACTGGGAACAAGCCCGACTTACTGCCGGCAATGTGAACCAAGCTCTGACACTGGTCATACAGGGACCTAACAGCCCGTATCAAAGGGCCTGGTACCCCATACTCCCAGATTACCCCCCACAGAGACCCAAAAAAAGAAAAAAAAACATGCATGTTAGGCTAATTGGTAACTCTAAATTGTCCCTAGGTGAGAGTGAGTGAATGGTTGTTTGTCTCATTTGTCTCTGTGTCCCTGTGATGGACTGGAGACCTGTCCAAGTGTCCCTGTGGTAGCTCGGTGGTCAGTGCTGCTGTCTCATAATCCGAAGGCTGCAGGTTAGAGTCCATGTTGTTCCAAGAAGTGTAAAACAATTGCCAAATTGTTCGTGTGAGTTGCCTTGCAGACGCCTGGAGAAGGGAGCTGCCAAAAGAACAACATAAATTATTGTTTTATGAAAATAATCTGGATTTTATGGTGTATTTCTATCACATTGTCACATAATGTTTTAACAACTCAATTTATACTTTTCACAGTTTCGCAAAAACTTGATAAAGGTGATCCCAATCATGCTGATTTGTAGCCCTCCCTTTTTAAACTACCTGGGTATCCTCTTGATGTGAGTCCCGTTTTGTATTTCATTTTTTAAACCAGACGAAGTGTTTGACCCACATTTCACCATCACTGACTCCTCTTTCTGTGACTGCTCTGTTCAGGTACTTTTTCCCACGTCAAGTCCTGATTCCTTATTTCTGGACTCCCAGACAGCAGGTGGAGTTTCGGCAAGTGTACCATTCCCTCAGGGCTCAGCACTACGAGCCAGTGCTCAAAGAACTCCAGTACACAAGCCAGCAGGTCAAAAATAGTCCCCTGCAAGGCCACCTTAAGGATCTCTGTGCTAAAGTGAGTCCTAAATTATAATGTTGGAATTGATTCAAATTCAATTCAATTCAAAAATACTTTATTAATCCCAGAGGGAAATAAATTGTTGTTGTAACTCATCATCCTGGTTTTACTAGAGTTGTTCTAGATGCTGATAGATGTGGGCAGGAAGGATCTCTTGTAGTGGTCTGTCTTGCAGCAGATATGACTGAAGACACTCTGTTGTTGTATGACAGTCTGATGAAGAGGATGCTGAGGGTTGTCTATAATGTTCTTCATTTATGAAGAATCCTTCTTTGTACAATCATCTCCAAATCCAAAAAAGTTCAATCTGGTCCTCTGGACATTCAAAAAAACAAAAAACAAAACAAAGCAAAAAAATCTAGAAACGTTTCGTCTCTCATCCAAGAGACTTCTTCAGTCTGAGGTGCTGTATTATTCAGCTCAGTCTCTTAAATAGCACCTTTTAAGAGTGGATCAACCAGTTTGCTGCTGACAACCAAAACCAGCTGATCA